GGATAGGAGGGGAGGGACGGGGCGTGGGCGTCGGCGTGGGCGTGGGGCCCGCGTCGGATCCGCCACGAGGCCCTGACGACGGCCACCTCAGCCGGAGCCCCTCTCTCTCCGGGTTGGAGCCCCCCACGCTGCTGGAGGAGGGGGCGAGGGGCTCCCGAAGCCCCAGTGTTTCCACCCCACCCCGGCAGCGATACTTTGAGAAGGAGTTGTCTTGTCTGGGGGGGGCGCTGTGGGTGCCGTTAGAGACCACGGGTGAACAGAAAGTCTCGCCTGCCTCACCTAAGATGATCCAGGGGCGGGCGATTAGCCGCGCCACGCTCGATACTCCTCAGAGCCCTATCCTGAGCACATCGGAAAAGCCAAGGAACTCAATCATGGGCGTTTCTGGCACCACCTCGTTTTCGGCCTCGGCTTTGCCGCAAAGAAAAACAACGAGCCGATTCAAAGAGAAGACTCTTTGTCGAGAGAAGAATTCCGATGATGTGGGGTCGACAAAGGCAAGGGGGCTCATGCGAAAGCGTTCCCTTCAGAGTGCTACCACGCGAGCCCCTGGAACCGCCCGAAGCCGCGACGTCACCCCAACCAAACGCACCTCGCCTCCAAAGCCGAAGTTCCAAAAGTTGTACGGCGGATCGAGCCCGAGGGAGGGGCGGTGTGCGACGGCGGGGGCGTCTCGTCGGCCATATTCGGCGGCAGGGATAGGGGCGGCTCGCCCGCCGCAAGTGAACGATAGGCAACTGCGCAAGCGTAAGGAGGACCTCCGACGGGAGTTGTATGCGTGGAATAGGGCTCTGGAGCAAAAGGAAGGCGATAGCGACGCCGTTTGAGGTCATGGGTGGGTTTGGTGGGGCATTCAAAAAAGTCTTGTATCGGTAGGATTCGTGCCGTTGGTTTTTCTGTTGATATCGAATGCAAACGTTTTCTTGGCAACCTAACAACTTGGTACAATCTCAGCACCAAAGATACGATGTTGTTCGTCCTCCCACGAAGATGGCCGGAAAGGAAGCAAAATCAAAGACAGGAGTAGTCCGCTGAGAGGCACATATGTGGGTCAAATGCACCAAAAAAGTAACCTGCATACTTTATGTATTCATCTCACAACAAAATTTATCATCCGTTGTTGCTGAGCATTTTTGAAGGATTCATTTCTCCTCACTTTTTCGTTTTTTTTCTTTTTCTCAATATTGCCACATGCACAAAATACAAACCCATATACATGTATCACATAAGGTATTTGATTGTCGAAATTGTGAATCCCTCATTCGTCATCATATTTTCATTGTGTGCGTCAAAAAAGGGGGGAGGGGGCTGAGGAGAGGAGAAGAGGTCTATACTATTTGATGTCGTCGAATACCAGTTTGGGTAGCCCCAGGGATACATCCAAGGCGACTCTAGGTAAACCTAAAGCTCCATTCAGAGAGGTGAATGACCCTTTGGTGCCAGTTCCTATAGAAGACATTTCAGCCGATGAGAACACTACCGACAGGGGTGGGCAGTCAAGCAGAGGAAGTAAAAGACTTACCACCAGTGAGGAATGCATGCCGACATTGACTACAGGGCATGATTTTATGGCATCTCTTTTCAACAGCGATCCGCGAGCAGCCTTTGACGCGCTCCACGTCAACGCTCTTCTTGTGCTGGAGGCAACAGAGGGTCTCCCAAGCTCAAGATTGATAGGCCCGCAGTGGTACCTCCCACCGGCTCACCTTTTGGCCTCTAACACTGCCGAGGGGGGGGAGGTCTTCGAGGTACCAAGACTGCATACGCCCATCACGGAGAGGCCGGCTATCGAGCTAGATATTATGAAGATAGAACGTGTGTTGAGGGCACAGTCGAGTGAAAAACTGGAACGGGTCATGCCGATGGAACTCTATGCTACTCTTAAAAAGTATTATAGAGCTCGTAATGTGGGGAAGCGGCATAGAGATTGAGCACAGAGAATAGCATTAGCGACGATGCAACTGCTGCACACACCTTGAAGTGAGTGAATTTTGTTAGGACTGATCGAAAGGTGCGAAGGGGGGAGTTTCCGCATTTTTAACCATTACTCAATAGAGATGAAATATGACGGTGTGGAAAACGTATAGAGCGGGCTGACGTCATTTTTCTATTCCGTTCATTATATTTTATGGGTCAGCGTTAGCTGCTTTAATCTGTTCAGTCAAACTACACCAAAAGACACAGGAACGTTTTCCATTCCTCTTTTTATTTTAAATGCATGCAATCATCATGAGCAAACTATCTTTTATAGCGAAAGACAGAGTAAGGCAGTGGAGAGGTGCATGCTAGGTTGTCTGAGCTACTACGACTACCAGAAAACCATAATAAGAACACCGATACCGAACGAAAACGAGATAGTCCACATCCGAGGCTTGCCGTAGTGTGGGCTTAGGAAATTGAGCGCCACTTGAGAAAATGGAAGCGCTACGCGTACAAGGCAATAACCTTTTTAGCTCCCATCCCGATGAAGCCGTCACTTTTTACCTAAAGGCTCTTGATCTTTACGATGAATACAGCAGGGCAGAGCCACAGCAAAAGTCATCTCTTGCTGCGGGAGCGGATGGCCCGCTGGTGTGCACCTTGGAAGAGTACACCAAGTGCGCCGGTAACGCGTTAACGTGCCTGCACAAGACTGGCCACATAGAGGAGTGCCTCGCGCTAGCCAATCGTGTCCTGCGCGTCAACCCCATCTTGGCGAAGGCCAGCGCCTTTATCGGGCGCTGCTTGCTTGCGCACCCCGAGCTTCAGCAATGCGCACGTTCCTCTAGTGCGTCCTTACCGGCCGGCGCGACGCCGTTTTTGTTTCTCTGCCGCTCCGTCCTTCAGCTTCCCGCGCTGGGGGAGTCGGTGCGCCCATACTTAGTAGCCGCGGTGGATCAACTACGGCGGCAATACGCCACGGGAAGGGAAGAACAGGGGGTAGGGCGTGAGGATTCTCGAGACGCTACTCAAGTGGTACGGCTCGTGGACATGGGCCATGGATGTGGTAGGGGTGTAGTCGCTGGCGAGAGCATCTTACCTTTTACATTGGTTAGCGACACACTGGATGCCTTCTCAGCTGCGCCGTATGAAGAGACAGGGGGAAAGGGTTGCTGTCTCCATTGCGGGCAATCCGTGGAGCGGCCTCAGGAGGGGTCCGAAGGGGAAGCGGGGTTTCCCATGCAAGCCAATCCTGTTAGTGCGTTCTGTTTCTGTAAAGGGTGTCAGATGGCGTACTATTGTTGCCAAAAGTGCGCGGATGCCCACAGAGAATGTCATGAACATTGGGAGTGTGATCGCTTGAAGAAGCTGAAGGAGGCCTCTGCCAAGATCACCGCCCACCAGCTGGATGCCCCGGAGGAGTTCTATGAGCTGGCGTTTCACTGCATTACCACCATCGCGGCCATGAAGGTGCGTCGTGAGGGTCATAACCGGGTCCTGCAGCTCGAGTCCCACGCTCAGGAGGTATCGCAAGCGCTGCACCCCATCGTATCTTTAGTGCACAGTCTTATGCCCGACGAAGACGCGACGCTCGTAGCCAATGTGATTGGGGTTTTGCGATGCAATTCACTTGAAGTGGTGGATCCGTCCGGTCTTGGGGTCGGCCAGGTGCTTCACTGCGCTAACCTGATATCGTTTTTTAACCACTCCTGTGCACCTAATTGTGCATTGGATACTAGGCGACCACGTCCGGGGATCGTGACGACACGCACCATAGCCAAGGGCGAGGAGCTGACCATCAGTTATATCCCTCAACTCTATTGGCCTGGCAAGCTTCGACAAGAGGCACTCATTGGGCGCTACTTCTTTACTTGTCGATGTCTGCGCTGCCTCGACGGTGATACCGACCCCTTTGAACGAGCGATATGTATGGAGCTGCCAGCCCCGCGGCACAGCAACCCAACTGAATATTTTCGCGGGAAGGTGCTGGCGACCTGCACAGAGATGCGTGGCCTTTCCATTGGCGAGATAACTGCAGATCACGTGTCTGAATTGCTCAAGCTATTGTGTGAAGTCAGAAAGGATTTGTTTGCCTTTCACTATCTCTGCCATGAGATTCGCAACACGCTTAGTTTCCTTTATGCTGTGCTAAACAAACCGCAAGAGTGTCTGAACAGCTGCTTGGAAGAGCTTTTGTTGTGGGAAAGCCTAATACCAGGGGCTCTTCCCATTAAGCAAATGAAGCTACAAAATGCGCTTAACTGTTTAATGCAACTTGGAAACGTGAAAAGTGGTGGTCATGGTGGTGATGCTACTACTCCCGTGCTGCTTGACTATATCGAAAGTCTTTCGTTGGCCTACGACGTAGCTGAGCTGGGTGAGTAAGGGTAGGGAATATCTTATAATCTAGAGATAAATTTTGTTGTCGTTTAAGTTAAAACATGTGAATTCAAGCAGATTTGATCTCCCTCGTAACCTATAAGGGGATAAGGTGCTTAAGTATTCCGTGATTCTGAAACTTGTAGCTGTGTTCCCCTCCCTCCCTGGGGGGCGGTCATCGTGTTGACCTCTGAAAGCATTTGTATAGGAAAGTACTTTGTTCCTCCGGTCCCTACTAATGATCTATTTTTTTCTTTTCTAGCGAGTTTTACTATTGACTCTAGGGGATGACTGAAGGGCAGGTAGCCGAAGACGCATATACTTTCCAATCCCTTCCCGTCAAGGTCGACTTCCACGGCACGACTGATGTGCGGGAGAATTTTAACGCGTACACCACCGTTGATACGCAGTCAGGGGAGCTGCGTAATAGTTTCCGTGGCCGAGCCCTTGTAGGCCTGAACATTGCGTTGCCGGAGAATTACAGCATCGCACTAGTGGACTTACCTCTGAGCAGCACGGACGAAATCTGTCCAGAGGGAAAGCTGAATAAGATTAGTCGGACGGAAGCCTATTCTGAGAGGCCCACGTTCGACACACCGTCGGAAGGCGCGTCTAGCTTTGTTTTGTCCGACCACATTCTAGTAAGGCAGGTCTCATCTCATTATATCCTGTGGGAACATGATAAGCGGATGGAAAAGGCTGAAATATTGAACCAATGGATCGAGCTTGCGCAGGCTATTCACAGCTGAAGGCACATACTATTGCGTTTCGTTCTAACAACACAATATAAGAGGAATTGTGACGGGAAAAGGTTACTGAGTATGGTGGCTACGCCGTCTTCAAGGGTGGCGATAATAATTCCAGTGGAAAGAATGAGTCCCTTTACGTGATGGGTTGGCTTTTGTGAGATACTTCAAGTGTTCCCCAACACTTGTACCACACCATAAGGAATCTCGATAACGTTATCTATCTTTTTTTTAAACCGTTTCCTGCTCTTTTGATTACTTTTTAAAATTTCGAAACCATATATTTGAATCCATTTATCCTTCTCCGTTTTTTTTTGAGACCCAAGAAGGACGGAAATTTTACCCATCCACTTTTAATTAGGGATGGCCGATGTATCAGATGGGGAGGATCTCAGGCAGGCTTTGACGTCTCGTGTGCCCTACTCCTTGCTCAGTGTCTCACTTCAACAGCGTTATAGCATGGCCGAGTACCATGACCGAGTGGCTAAGCATAGTATTCTCCACAATCATGCTTACTATCGACTTCCAGAATACGCGCGGGCAGGCCTTTCTGAGGCCGCATATTATACGCAAATGATCCAGTATGGAGGGGAAACCCTTCAACTTTATCCGTATGTGCATCAAAAGAGAATTCTTTTCTACACCAAAGAGACACAGCTGTCGTACTATGTGAAGATGCTCATGGAGCTTCTGAAGAAGGAGCAGAACTATGACCAGCTCCCAAACTTCACCGCTTTAGATATCCTTCGACTCCTGCGAATTGGTCGAAATCAATTTCTTAATATCACCAAGGAGGTGAGAAGTAAGTTGCGGTGGCACACAAATCGCAACTACATCACCAATCACCTTCCCGCAATGCTGGCGTCTTCTGTCGAGGTTCGACCCTTCTGGAGGGTCTTAGTGGTTGAACAGCCGACCTTCCTGGTATGGAAGGCATGCCACTTGCATACGGTGGAGGACTACACACTCTACCAACTGCTTCTTAGTAACGGGAGTGCGACGCAAGTATCGGCGGATTCGCTCCAAACCATGGGTATTGAGCGGAGTTTATTCCTTAGGGATGTGGTTTTTGCCTGTGAGTTGCCCAAGTCACCACTGCTGCGACTGTATCGGAAGGGCTTGGTTAGTTTTGACTTCAACGTTTCGCCAGATGATCGAATCGTTGTGCCCCCACTGGAGGATTTTGTGATGAATCGCACCTGTGATGATCCTCATGAGTTGTTGCTCTACCGCGTCATGTCCACCTCCGACGATCGAACCCCACTCCACCTTCTCGCACAACTGCTCATGCTGGATGTCGAGGACGTGTGTGCGGCAGCGCATGTTCTGGTTCGGCTGGGGCTGGCTCTTTTAAAGAGCAGTGCCGCGCCAGCAAGAACTTTGAAGCAGCTCAAATCGATTCATCCGACATGGGGCACCCAGGTGCAGGAGATGGTGCAGTTGTCCGCCAGCTCCAATGTACCCACAGATATGTTTACTTCTGGTGGATCGCCCATAGTCAGCCACGATCACCCACTTAAGCGCATCGCGTTGCTTTATGACGTGACTCTGACGGGATTTCTCATGACAAATGTCAGCCGGGATCCCGCGTTTAAGCGGCACGCCGTCACTCTGTTTGAGGTGGGTAAGATGCCCGATGAGTTGGTGAAGAGTTTTCTAGCCATTCTCGATGGCATTGATTTAGGCGAGGAGCGGGCGTTTGGCAGTGAGGTACTCAAGTACATCCGCTGTGTCTATTGTCTACGAGAGACGCTGAAGGTTCTCAGATCTATCAGAGGCCCCGAGGGTGCCGAAGGGGTTGATCTTTTAAAGATTGAGTCCCTTAACGAGCTGGAGGCAACTACCAGATATTCTGTTCTTGGAAGAAATTATTGGTGCTACATTACCATGGATCCGTTGGCCAATGTACCTCTCATAGATATTGAGCTGAGCTGTGTGTATGGGAGCACCGCCAGCCTCATGGCGTCACCATGGCTACTTCTCTATTTGCACGCGAAGACGCGGCGTGGACCACCGAGTCTTTTCATTCCCTTTGGTTCCTTTGTGCAGTATTGGCCACCTTTGTTTGATCAAGACAAGCAAAATGGTGACTCGGATAGAGGGCAGTCAGCATTTTGCGGCACCCATAGTACTGCTGATGGCAATAGTTCCTCGGGTGGGAGCGACAGTCGAGCTGACTTCGTAGTTGGAAGAGCCACAAAGCTACGTGTGCAACCAATCGCTCTGGACTCGGAGGCCTCATATGTTGACCTCGATACCTCCCTGCCTCTTGTTAATGAAATGGCGCTTGTGTCGCCAGTTCTGGTGCAATGTGCTGTGTCAGTGCCTTTGGTGTGCAAGCGCGACGGTTCTGTATCAGAGATGGCATCTTACTACTTCAGAGAAGTCGAATTTCCCTTTACCGCCACTCGCGAGCAAGTCATAAAACTCAGCACAAAAGCGATTGCTGTCAAAAAAGGCACTGCTAATGAGCGTGAAAATGTGGAGGCAAGTGCGCAGACACTGTTTGTGGATGAAAGGGATGACCTCTATGCGACGCTGCAGAGTTGTGTTCAGGCGCTTCACCTGGAGCACTCCTTGGGTTACATCACTTGCTGTATTGGTTTCTATGCTAATTATTCTCCCGAGTCAGCGGAGCCCATCACGCACCGGGACTCGATGCAGAGCCAGCCGCATGGAACGGACCATGACGATGGAGCGGTCCTATTTGCAAGCGAAGAGCTCGCACCAGCCCAGGGACTCAGCTGGGTATGCACTCTGGACACAGTGCACGTGGTGGGGATAGGATTTGGGGTTCCTTTGATGAGCTTGGAGTGCTGTTTGTGCATATTACCGGGCCTCCCTGCTCTACTATCGGAAGAGTCAACTGAGAAGCACAATGCTGCGATGCGAGGTTGTGTGGAAGAGTTTAGCCTCTTTATGGAACAACATTCGTCGCTGACACGCCCTGTGTACGAGAAATTACCTATCCAATCCGTTTCTACTGCTGGACCCAAGGCACAGTTGCATTTACGGCAAGTGTGCAGGCAGGCTGGTGCCTTGCCATTCCCTCGGACCTTCCTTTTTTTTGATGGGACGATTTTGCGTACTGTGGACGATGCAGACCCGTTATCCGATCTGTTGTAAAAAAAACACGCTCTAGGGGACTCTGTTTTTTTTTCATCCTCATTGTATGGCTATTGTGTTTTTGATCAAAGGTTAAGGACGTCAATTAAACCCCATTCTTGTGTTTTGGGTATGCTTTCGTTTTTTTTTTTTTGCTACAACTACAAAGATGAGATGGGTGGACGGTTTCAGTGTTAAAACAAAAAACGCAACATGATATGGATTCTGGGTATAATTGATGATTACAAAGGGAGAGATTAGAGGACGACACGTTTCTTTTAAACGCATCAAAGTTTCGTTCCGTTTTGAATGGTTTCATTTTTTTTAATCGAAAAAGTACTCCAAAACGCAAAGCCTAACTTGATAAAAGTTAGGTGGTGAGCCTGAACAATCACATAGTTATCATTATCTAAAAGATTCAACCAATCTTAAAGAAACAGGTTATGTCGCTAAATATTCAAGCATATACGAACTGCGCACTAAAAGAGCGGGTGAACCTTAAAGTTGAGTGTATAGCCTCCGTGCTAAACTTTCTTTTAGTGGGCACTGCTGACGGCAAATTGGTGATCTATGAGACTCAAGCAATCAACCAGGAGGAATGGAATGCACGGATTCTTTGCACACATATTAGTAAGCGCCGAAAGCCGATTCGCTCGTTAACCCCGTTACGGCATGCTGGAGTGGTGCTGGCTATATGCGGTACAGACACTATCGTAGTATATGCTTTGCCAGCTATGACTAGTCAGTACCGAATTAATACCGCCGCCACCGACGACCTCACGCCAGAGCTGTCAGTTTTAAGGCTATCGAAGGATATCGTAACTTTGAGTGTCAAGAAGTTTAAGAGTGTCTTTACAGTAGCTGTTTTACACCGTCATCAGCTGTCTTTATATGAATTCCTTGAGGAATCCAAGACCCTCTCTCTCGTGAAGGAAGGACCGAGCTTTACAGATAAGGCTCACACCGTAGTGTGGGCAGGGAAGTACACTCTGTTTATAGGCTTCCGAAAAGACTACCGGCTGTACAACTTGGCAATGGATAGTATTGTGGATCACTTGTATGCCTCCGGTAAGGCTCAGACACCCTCTCTTCTATCCATGCACCCGGTACCAGAGGTTCTAGTTACCACGGAGGAAGCGCGGCTGCAACGCGCCTTGCCAGACGGCAGCCCGGTACCGGGCGACTCTTCCGTTTTCTGCGGGTCCCCACCCACTGTTGTCGTGTATGATCATCCGTATCTATTGTGTGCGTACCAGCACAGCGAGCCTCGGTTGGAGGTGTATCTGCCACTGATTACCAACCTCCCATTACCACAGCGCCCACCGACGGTGTCGTGCCAGGTGCTTCCCGTCACGCCTATCCATATGCTCCAACGACACGTCGTGGACCTCGACCAACACTTGCCAACGACGGAGCGAGGCCCTGCCGACGAGGAATATCGAGAAAATCGAGACTGCATCTGGTTTCTAGGCCCCAGCAACTACATCCATCTCCTCGTGCGGCAGCCGGTGAGTTGCGGTATCGAGGCGTGCTGCAACAACGGCCTCCTCTCTGTCGGTACAATTCTTTGCCAGCTATGCTGTAACGAAGTTGACGCTCAGGTACGACAGAGGGCCTTGATGCAGCATGCTGTCCAAGAGTTCTTTTTAGGCAACCACGCAGCAGCACTTCAGGCCATGGCGCAGTCCACAACAGAGCCGCACTATGCGATGTTGCTGTACCCAGACTTACTTCCCCAGGCACTGCGGACGCAGTTCCTTCAAGCAATTGACAGGGATGTGCGTCTGCAGTTGGAGCATGGGCTAGAGTCGAATCCGTGTGAGAGAAGCACTAACGAAGCGCTTCGGTCTCTGGTGGGATTTTTGGCTCCACTGAGACCGCAATGGGTGCGGAAGACTCGTTCCTCTGTATCTGCCACAAATGTAGCGACCGATGCTGCTGATGTTGTAAAAGGGTTAGACACATGTCTTCTGAAAGCTTACACACTCTTAGGAATGGAGGAAGCATTGATAGACATGTTGCAGCAACCTAACTATTGCGATTTAGAGGATGGGGAGGGTTTTCTCATCACTCGACACATGTGGGTGCCCATGGCGGTCTGGTGGAAGGGACTTGGGAAGCATGCTCAGGCCCTCATGCAGCTACAAGAACTTTGCGTGGATCACCCTTCTTCTATTCCCGGCCTCTCCCAGCCTCTGTCCTGGGATGTTTTCTGTGCCTTGAGGTGTATCTGTATTGAGGGTGGGGCTGCTCTATCTGAAGGGTTTCAGCCTGGCGGTTTCTTGGTCAAGCAACTAGAGCATGCTCCTGGAGCTGGCGCAAAAGTGGTTGAAAAGGTTGTAGTTGCCATAACGCTAGCCAAGTATATCAGCAAATTATCCTTGGATCCGCTTAACGGGGAATCGGACCTGATCAGGACATACATCCCGTGGCTCCTACGTAATATTCCGACTACACTTTCTCTAGGTGCATTTTTATCAAGTTGTAATAGAGAGTATTACCACGAGGCACTTCGGATTATTCAATCGAAAGAGACGCTCAACTGCCCTGGGATCATTCACCCAGTGCTTCCCACGGTCGATTTTCTGAACGTTTTGATGAATGATGCATCTTTTCCTACTGCCGGCGACATTGCTGAACTTCACACAACTTATTGGCAAAGCTTGGCCCTGCTGGTGTTTGGTGGGGCAGTTGATACAGATACCATGTCCATTGCAGTGCGACGAGAGCACCTAGACGCATTTCTGCTGCATTCTCCATTCGTAGATTTTTCAGCAGCTTGCGAGTTCTTCGAGAATCCAGAAATTAAGGCGAGTAGCCGTCCCGAGCGGGCGGTTGTGTATTCTCGTATGAATGATCATGAGCGCGCAATGGATATGTATTTAAATGAGGGTGGACGCTCCCTTGAAGAAGCAGAAGCATACGCCGCACGCGTAGAGCCAGAGTCACGTGGCGACGTGTTTGAAGTACTGCTAAAGAGGTTAATGCAGCCCCCGGAGGGACCTCCACGCATGGAAGAGGTACTGCGACTGTTGCAGACTAGTAAGGGCATGAATGCTCTCTCCACGCTGTCCATGTTGCCGGATTGCATGCCGCTTAGTGAGTTGGGTCCTTTTTTGATCCAGTCACTGAACAGTTCGGCCGCCGAAGAGCAGCAGGAAGAAATTTATTTAGCAATGCTAACCGCCCAGAAGGCAAAACTGCAGCAGACGCTCCTGGACGAGCAGTCCAAATTCATTAAGGCGGTTGAGGGGACTCTCTGCGGGGTTTGCCACAAAAGGATATACGCCGAACAGTCGTTTGTGTGCTACCCCAATCGTGTTATTGCTCACGAGGGCTGCATTGATGACGAGCATATTTGCCCCGTTACGCATGTTGATTTTCGCAAAGATATTCTTTCTTTGATGCACAGTATATAGCTACGCGATGCTAGCAATCCTGTGGGGCGAAGATGATTGTGTGGGGTTGCTGTTTTTTCCAAGACAACACATTCAATCTTGGGGATGCAAAATAAAAAAACACCTTTTGGGACACGAGCGAATGTTAATGATCCATTGTGTGAGATCATTCTCTCATTGATTGTGGTACCCTTGGAAAAGTTTTTCCATGACGCATCCCATTAGCCGTGCCAGATGTCAACTTTGTGGTTCATTTCTTTTGTCTGTGTGCGTGTATAAAAGGCGCCATGGAGACTCAGTTCGTTTTTGTCAAAGTATTTGGTCCTCGATATGGCGTAGAAGTGCTCGCTATCACTGCTGATACGTGTGATTGGATGTATTTATAGCACCCATCCGGTTGGAACCTCTGATGCTATCTTTATCCCACTTTTTTTCCTTTTAAAAAGGTCTCCTGTGTAGCTCTTTCTCTGGAGAAAGTAAAACCCATTTACTGAAATTGTTTGTATTCTGCATTTTGGATCAGAAGATAGGTGCGTTTTGAATTTACATGACTATATGAACCACGCCTGTAAACAAAAAACGATATCTCTTGGGTTGGCTCCGTGGCTGTTGAGTTTCACATTTTTCTTCCTCGCTTTATTCGTATCCTATAGCTCCAGATGATTAGCCCTCTGGATGGTCTGGTAAGGTCCATTGTTTTTCCCCGTCCAAAAAACTCCACATATACGGCATCGACCCATTCCAACGCTCTTTTGCACATTCCTTGTGTAGACTGGAACAATCAAAATGCAATAGGCTCATATACCTACGGTTACTTATTCACCCAGCCTTCTGCTACTCACCTCCTTATTTACGCGCACCCCAACGCAGTGGACATCGGCATGATCTACAACGAAATGAGGGAGCTCAGCGAGGAGGCTCAGATCGATGTGTTACTATTTGAGTATTCCGGGTACGGTCTCACGCACAGCGAGGTGTCGGAGGAGAGCATGAATCGTGATATGCTGGCCGCTTATTGCTTTGCCAGGGATCACCTTCACGTGCCCCCCGATCGTGTCGTGCTTTGCGGGCGATCCATCGGGGCTGCAGTGGTGGTGCGATTGTCTGCAGGCCTTTCGAATGGCCAAACCCCATCATTGGTTATTCTACAGTGTCCGTTCACTTCGCTTAGCGAGTGTATCCAGGAATTTTCGCAAAACGTCGTTTCTATCGCTAACTTCCTTGGGTATAACTGGTTTAGAACCATCGATGTGATCGCAGACGTGAAATCCCCAGTTGTACTGCATCACGGAACCCACGACACCACCGTCCCCATCTCTCACACCTACGCGCTGAAGGACAAGCGCCGCATGGCGACACGTCCGTGCGTCACTTACCTTTACCTGGACGAGGATAGGGGCCACAACAATCTCAAGCGTTCCACTCTGATCCAAATTCTCCGTGAAAGGATCCCAATATTAGAACTCAGTCCCCTAAAGGCCAAGTGGCCTTCTTTTGCGGTGGCTCACCCATCCGTCTGCAGTCTTCTCTTTCCGCCTGGTATCACTAAGTTAGATGAAGTCTGCGCCAGATGGAAGGAACTTTTCAACTTGGCGGATACACTGCAATCCAGCGAGTCCTGGTTCGTTCTCCTCACAGCGAGTGTGTGCGTGTTCGCAGCGAGGGCTGCTCGCGAGTGGCAGGTTTACTCAGACCTTATTAAGCGGAATTCGCGCAATAGCAGCCTCATATCACGCTGCTCGAAAACCGACTTTCTGATTCGATGCATGACGAGCTGGTGTAACCCTCTCGGTGTCTATATCCCGATCGCGGGACACTCGGGATGCTCTGAGGCGCTTGTATTCGGATGCAGCGTGCCACCCGGCCGTTGGTCTTCGTTTGATGTGGCATGGGACTTCATCTCCCACGATGTATCAAACGTCCTGTTCATGGTAGCCGAATTCAAGCCAACTGCTGGGCTGCTCAAGGCCATGGGTATGGTCCTTTCGTCCGCACCGGACCTTCTGGAGGTACCCAGGGATGAACTACCTAGTTTCATCCACCCGGACCTTGTGGGGAACATTCAAATCGAGTGCGAGCGCATTGTCGCCTTCATGTCCCGCAGTATAGCTACATCTTTTCACTCCCTCTTTTGTGACTTTGAAAAAAGTAGTGTGACACTCATGAGCGCCAAAGCCAGCTGTCTGCCTGATACATCATTCGATCACGTGTCGTACAAGGAGCTTAGTGAGTGGCTGAGTCCTTATGTGGAGCAGCCTCAACAGATGTCGTCCATCGCGGCCGAGATCCCATGGGATTACTATTTATTCAAGGCACGCGTACTGATGAGTCGATACAGACTCCATGTGGACATGGACTGGAGGGAACTGGAGGATTTCCTTCAGGCAGGTTTGGTAGTAGCCCAGATTTATGCCTGCTTTTGCAGGTATTTTGCCCTCTCGACTAAGTGCTCTTGCGAGCCTTACCCTTAAGGCTATACTCTACGGGGAGTGGATACATGATCTATGTTTTAGCTCGAAGGCAATTCCATGATACACAGCAAGCTGAGTACCTCACGAAGACAACATGGGGCGCTTAATGATATATCCTGTTCAAAAGTATTATAAATATATTTCTTTTTTATGGTACACTATGTTTTTCTGTATGCATTGCTGATATTGCCATATCTTTATATTTTTGAGGGTAATTGTTTTCATTTCATAATAGAAATGAGATCCAGCACAAAAAGTCTTCCGCCCTAGTGTCACACTTCAAGGGTGGACAAAAAGCAAAGTGAGGACACATTGATTGGCAATCTGAATTCCTCCGTAAGTCAAGCCGTGGTGACATGACGGGCGGATAATTTGGCACATTGTTGTTTTTTGTACTCCCTTTTCCCTCCGGCTTCTTGGAGGCCAGGACTAACTTTTGATGAAGGAATTAAAACAACAACACCAGCGTGGGTGCTCATCGTCATAGCTTTAGATTCAAGATATTCTAGAAAAGGAAGGGAGAAGAGGGGAGAGGGGGGGGGAGATACGATTTGGTTATCCACTAGTAATGTCTACGACACCCCTATCGCAGCCATCCTCCATTAGCTCAATGTGCAGTTCCTTTAGTTCTTTTGATGGCAGCAGCACTGAGCGCAAAAGAAAGCTTTTGAGCTTGCTAACGCAGCCTCGTGAAAATGGTGGCTATGGCGGACGTATAAACTATCACGAGTTTTCTTTGTTGGGGCACTCTCTCAACTGGACTCGTGAGGTGATAGAAGACTGTTGGTATGATGTACTGCGTGGTGTTCCCACTCTGGAGGCTACGGATATGCAGCACGTGGCTGATGTTGTGTGCGACTACTGCTCTCCCTCTACTTTAGTGTCCTCGATGACTCCGCCTGTACGCCCTGACCTGGCGAAAACGGAGCTGGTCAGAGGACTTCCGAAAAGTGCGGATTCTTCACAGTCCGGCAAGCCGGCTGTCGGTTTAGATTCCCCGGCGCCTCCAGTTTTGGTTCACGCGGCAGCAGGGGTGCGGCCTCGTTCATGCACAAGAACTTGTTGTAGTGGGAATACGAACAGGAGAACCCCATCGGCCCAGAGTGATAAAGAAAGGTGCAGCATTACAAGTGGGCTCCCAAAACCCATAAGGAGGTCCAGTAAATTGGCGCTGCGCGGTAACCAGTCACCAGGATGCAGGCGTTACGCTGTGCAAACCGCCTCAAGCAAACTTAAACTGCGGACACGGAGTCCGTCACTAGCAGCGAGCGGCAATGTTGGTGCAGCCCCCCGCCAGCCAACCCCTAGAAGAAACCAACCGTCACCGCGAACAGGTACCCCTAAGCATAGTGCGGTATTCGACCGTCTCTATGAACATGGGAAGAAGTTCCAATTGGAAAGGAAAGCATGGACTAAACCGCTAGAGGAGATGCCTTCCTTCAAGCCAAGCATCACGCCTTGCCGTGGCGGGCGCCACACCAAAGAGGAAAATGCTGATGCGCCCCACTACCACAAGCTCACTTGCTCCCACTGCGCCAAACTGATGCAGCAGCCGGACCGACACCATGACCCTCTGGATGACACGCCAGCCACGGCACGTGTTGATTTCCGTGCCCCCCCGGGGCCCTCGTGCTTTGTCCCGCCGGGTTACGTTGAGGGGGTCGCAAGGCTGCGACGCGGTGTTGCGGCCCGGCAATTGAATGACTTTGTGGCCGGACTACGCCAGGATTCTTGCTCCTACCCTTTCAGGGACGGCTCTAGTTCTGCCGCTATCCAGTGTCTTGAGGCGCCCATTCTGAGGCTCCCACTCTACACTATAGAAAAGGGTGCGAAAGAATCTGTAGATGTGCGTCTTGCATCGCACGACGACAAGATATCGGGTCGCTCCAACGACGCATACAACGACGGAAGGGTATCATTGGCGACACCTACCCGGCCTCGAAGTTTTTCAGCATCATCTTCCCACGCAAGTTATTTCGAGCGCTTCAAAACATATTAAAAACGTTTGAATCGTTGAAAGTCGCATATCGATGTCTCAGCGTGGTGGAGGACACTTTGCTGCCATGCTTCTTCAATTCTCTTCCTTTTTTTTTTCCGAGTGCTCAATCTTATCAATGCTCTATTTAGACGACCAAGAAAAAAAAGTAAAAAAATAGAAAAGTATCGGTACATGTCAGAAAAGCACGGGGACAAGGTTCCTCCTCCTCCACCCCATACTTGTTATAGAGCTATTAAAGTATAAACCGCGATAACAAAATTGGAGGGGCAGTTACTTCCAACAAAACGGCCATTTTCAAATGCGCTAACACTCTGAATGTTTATACAAAAAAAAATTCACGATACCAACCATATGGGAAAAAACTTCTTTCGTTTTATTTCGTTTAATTTACTTTCGTCTTTTTGATTATCTGTGCTGATCTTGATATCTGGCACATAATTCGTTGAATCCAGGAACTATGCCATTTGAGGTAAGCTATCCATCTGATAATGCCCCCAGACATGAAGGAGAGCCTTTTTATGCATTACATCAATACAAGCTGAAGGTGGACAATGAACCCTCCTTGAGCATCCTCGTACGGGCATTCCCCACATTGCCACCCTCTGATGCTGTCGGGCTGCTCAGTGGCTTTGATTCCACGGGGCTAACGGTGTGGAATGGGTCCCTTGCCTTGGTGGAATGGTTGGTACGCGAACCTGCAGTGCTCCATAGTGCTCTTTGTCGTCCGCATCGCTCAACATCTTTTAACTTCAGGGTGACTTTCGTGGATCTGGGGTGTGGATGTGGCATTCTCTCGGTGGCGTTGTGGCACATCATCCGCAATGAAATGAAGCGCCAGGTCGACCCAACCGTCACCGCACGCATTATCGCTACGGATGGAAACGAGGAATGTGTTGCCTTGTGCGCTCGAAATTTACAGGAGCAATGCCGGCCTGATACCTCTTTACCACCATCATGTTGTGCGTGGCATGGGGTACATGCTGAGGCAAGTGTATTGAATTGGGGTGATGATTCAACTGATTTCTCCAAGTTGATCGAAAGTTGTGACCGTATTGTGATTCTTTCCGCAGAGGTTATTTACAGCTCCGAAGCGATTCCGCTGCTGATATCCACCGTCTGCTCCTTGCGCAGGGCTTTTCAGGCGGGGACGCTAAATTCCACCCCAGGTGTAAGGGCGAGCGACACCGAGCCTACTGAGTGCCCTCAGTTGCAGTGGTGGCTGCTATACACGCCACGCAGTCTCAGCGTCTCAAGCAACAAAGCCATTTATGAGGCCTTGGTGGCGGCTCTCGCGGCTCAGACCTCTTGGACGTTTCAGCAAATCGAAGCGCCTGCGGGGTCTCTTCATTGTGGATTTGAGAGCAACACCTTGCCAGAGGAGCTGCCCTGGTCATTAAAGGGGTGTATTTTTGTTGTCAATCTGAATTAAAACTAAAACGAAAAACGAGAGTAATTTTGAACCTGTTGAATTGAGCCAAGTAATGTTTTAGGCCGCGAATCACTTTTCCAAGTTGCGTTTACCCGGTCCACCTCTTTCGGCAGGATCTTAGTTGATAAAAAGGTTGACAAGAGTGGGGTTTGAACCCACGCCTCCAGGGGAGATCACGACCTGAACGTGACGTCTTAGACCACTCGACCATCTTGCCTCGTTGGGCGCTAGAAGTAGTCGATCCCGTAGAAATAAGACTACACCGAGGATGGTGATGACGCACCGCCTGCGTTTACCAAAACTCGATCAGCGCGACTGCCTGCAGGCCTCTTAGCCATGAGGTCATGAAATAAAAAATATGAGCGTGAACATATCAATAGTATTTGCACCAATGAGTGGAATGAATAATAAAGTGAGCAGAAGCACTGCCTCAAGCCTCTTTTTTCAGCTTTGAGATGGTTTGCTTGCTCGAGATGGGGGTGCATTATTCATCGTCACTATAAACAAGTTAATCAGTCCGATCGTAGGCAAACTTTTATGAAGCCAATCCATAGCTGTGGAGGGAAGTGCCGCGATCTTTTTTTGGCGGTGTTGCTAGTTCTAATGCTAGATGCTCTGTTTCATAAGGATAATATTTTCTAATTAGCACACAAAATATAT